ACTTCGTCTGCCTTGTCCAACAGGTCCAGTATGTTTTGCTTACCGCTTTTAGTACACTGGCTAACATTTTGTACATCACTTCTCCTACAGTTTGTAAATTAGCTGTTTGTCCGTCAGGCATCAGGACTTCTAAGGCTTGCGAGCTTAATTTTTTTGAGTTTGCCTTAAAATAATCTTAACGATGAAATATGCCAGGGGGTAGGAGCAATTCATGACATTGTAATATATGCTAGATAAATATCAAGCTGGCTCGTAAGATTGTAAACACACCCTAGCAACAACATCTTTTAGCGGTCTAAGTCAAATAAGCAAGGGGTAGAACCTCGTCCAAAAAACATAATTGTAATATACCCAAATAAATGGTGAAAGCTAAGAGTTTTTGCAGGCTTAAACATGCTTATCTGCTGCCGTGTTATTATCGACACGTGTCAGGATTGGTCAGGTACCATTGTGTCAGGAGCAGGCACGAAATGCGGACAGCGCGGAGCGTTAGAAAATGACGTGCAACAACATCATGGCGAATGCGGTTGCATATGGGTTTGCTCCCTCTCCATGGAACAGCTTGTGCGCATGTACGCCATTATAGGAAATGGCTTGACCGGCTTAAAGCGGAATGCTACGCACAAAAAGGTACGCCTCATATGGCGCACCGCTTAGCTGCACGTGTGCGGGGTCATAGTGGTGGGAAACGGTCGCAAAAAGTTATAACGTGTCCGCTATATACATGTAGTAACTTAAAGCCCAGGAATGGGTCAGTAGTTGCACAAAACTAGATTATGTACTTAGACTGGTAATTTGAATTCTACTGGCAGCATTATAGATCTTGGTAAGCAGTAGAAAAAATGTCTTCATTTGGAAGATTTTAAGAATGTTGCTACGCCGTGTTGATACGAAGTTTTCGCTCATTTGACGTATGACGCTGCTACCTACGCCTGATAATAAACTTAACTCAGAAACCTCCTACTCTACTATTAAATAATTAACTTTGGCATATCTGATACTGCGAAATAACAGTATCATAATTAGAAGCTTTTTAATCCTTGGGAGTTACATATGTCTTTGATCAAATTGAACTCATAGATCTAAGGGTGATGAAAATTGGACATTCCGAATTTTGCCAGCTCTTCAGTATAGACTTTTACGCAGCAAATAAGCCGGGGTATCATGTATTATGCTCACAGAATACCGAACGTAACCTAGGAGAGCCGTCAACCATTAGGCCTGTAAGGAACGCCGCCAAACTATCTAGTATATGAAGGATATCGTCAGAGATAGAACAAAGATATTGTATTTTGTTGGTTATAAGAATAACAACGCCAGTCAATTTAAGATTCAAATCTATCAGCTCTTTGTCAATGTACAGGACCAAATTCCAATCATCCTGATAAAGACTCAGCGGGAGCGACCATGAGCTAGACCTTACTGAATGTCAATTCTATTCTTTTTACTAAAGTTTTACTGTTCCACAATTAACACTGCGCTACAACACCCTTTTGTCCATTTGTTACACACGCTCCCGTTGAAAAAGACAAAACTCGTTATACTAATTTTATGTCAACTAAAGGACGTCCTGTAGAGATTTGCATTAAAAAATAAACCCTGTAAGCCCTTTATTTACGCTACAGACCAATTCTGTTATAATTTGAGATTACCTAGGGATTCAACACCCTAATCTCAAGTAACGTAACGATTGCTTTTGATTTATTTATATTCTTGTTACACTAATCGTTGTGTTACAACTGTGCATGTAGGAATTGGGCGAAGTTATCCTGCTATCGGTTCTGTTGGCCATTCAAATTGACTTCTTTTTTCGTGGAAGCGTATGTGCTACTTGACAAAGTCTCGACACCGTCTAGTTTACTTGTCATCCAACTATGTACGCTTATATTGATTTTTATTCCCTTCTTGCGGTTACAGAGCGGTAATACCAAAGTAATGAGATCCAGTATAAATAGGGCAAAAATACACTCACATTGGGAGAAGACAATTCTGAATTTAGGAAAAATAGGTTTGTAGTTAAGAAAAAAGGCAGGTTTATGCTTACTGAAAATTACTCATTTGAACCGTTCATCTACTTTTCTCTTTATAGAAAACCTATTTTTCCGGCCTGTGAACATGAGTCCTACTCAAGTGTGGGCCTGCTCTTACCCCTGAGCCTGCAAGTAGAAGACCCCCCCGCTGCTTAGGCCTATTATCTTATGTACAATTATTTTTGGGTTATCTTCCCGCCTATTGGCTGTGCAGGCGCCTTATATTCTGTGACTAATTGAACTGTTTTTCAAGGTTCTGCACTTCTAACGTCACTGGCAGGCCCCGTAATCATTTAGGTAGTTTTTCAGGACAAAAAGCAATTGCTCTTTCTTGCACTGACACGTATGGTTCCGTATCGTTGGAGGTAACGACGGATTACGATCATCAGCATACACGTTTCTAAACGGGAAACGGAATCCAATTGAGACGATTCCTCGGCCAAATTGAATCGTCGTAGAAGTATCAGAACGTATCTATTACAGATGTCTCTGATTTTCGACAGGTGAAATTGACATATCTCTTTTGAATTGTACTTCACAGGTTACCAGCATCTGTCTACTGGTGTAATAGTTATTATGTTTCTTTCATTCTACAGTCCTTCTCGTCTGAAATTTTTTTAGTCAATCACATAGCTTTTATAACTTATAACGATAATGGGGCTTGAGCCAGCGACCCCTGGCTCTTGTAATCAGCAGTTTAGCCGTCTAAATTACTGCATTTACATTCTTTTTAGGTTATTAAGGAAGTAACAGCTCCTTTCGCGGACCGTTTTTCTTTTCTAATTTATCTTTATTGCTACTTTTAGAAAGTCTCAACGTATACCTGTTGGTTCGTTTTGTCCAGATTACAAAATTTTACTTTGAGTTCGGACTCCAAAGAAGGACATGTCGGATGAGCAAAATAAATTGCAACACCGATTTTTGCCGATGACAAGAAGACGTAGAAATAACGTACGAAATTCGTTTCAGCTTCAGTACTTCAAAGTGATCCTCATTGAATATGAAAAGTCAACTAGGCCGCGTTCTTCAGGTCGCAGATTATTATCACGTCTTTTGTCGTACGCACTACACGCATCCCCAGTTGGTTCGCCTTGAGTAGGAGAGAAAGCGAACGAACGTTGACTATGATTTTTACAACCTAACCTTGGAGTCTGAACTGAAGGTATAATTTTTCCATTTGAACAAAGCGATGATTACAGCTCTTTCGAATTAATGCTGTGGTACTGAAATATCACAAACAAAAAACGAGGAAAGCGAAACAACAAGCCAAACTGGCTATCGTTTTTTCAAGAACTCAACACAATCATTAGATAAACGCCCGAGTCCATCCCGATTTTTCACATACCTTTAACCCCCTAGCGACACCCTACGGGCTAAAGGTATGTCGAAAAAGCCCTAGCTTCCGGCCAGAGCTTAAACTGTTCAAGCAGATGCGGCAACATTTCATCACTACTGGGCAAAACCGTGAGTCAGTTCTGATTTTTGCTGTTGCTGCTGCAGTTAGAAGCGCTTACTAAATTGTCTATTATCAGCTGTCTATACGAGCTTCGATTACCATCGGAAATGCGAAAACGGCGTTTCCGCTTTCAAAATACCATCCTATATGCGTACTTCGGTACTCGTATAAATTACCGAGTATTTTTCTAAATTCATCACGAAACGAAACAGATCTGATAAATCAAGGTTGGCACTAAATGAAGAATAGGATTTAGTATCTCTACCAAGTCCAGTACCCCTTTAATGGCGCACAAAACGTATGTGAAGGAACTTTATTTCGATGGACATCCATTGAATTTTTGAGTGAGTGTTGTTTTTTGATCAGTCTGGCTTTTCGTGATCTTGGCCGTATCGATGAAGTGTCATGCAAAAGTAACTTGCTTGAAATCACACTGTTCCAATCGCGCTAACTTAACAACATCTTACAAATTACTACTGATCACAATGTTGTGGAATATCCGTCTTGCTTTCCTGGTCATCACCGTACGTAAAAAAACACCGATCAGCACTACTTTTCAAAAGTTTACTATATGCCATCGAAAGCGAAATATGGCCTTGCTTGTAAAACTACTTAAAAATCATTCAGGTAGTAGCTAATCTAAGGGCTCGGTGTCCTATCTTGAATGGTATAATAATTCTGCGTTCGGAAACTCACGCATAGGATATGTCTAATTGGCAGCCGGTTTCAGCTTTTCCATTTCGAGAAAAAAAAATTATGTCCAACATTGTTTTCTTAGTTTATTGTCTTGTTTCGGACGCAGAGAACCAAACGTAAGCAAACTAACCGTTAACCCGCCAGCCACAACGCCATCTTTAGGGGCGGGCTAGCCGAAGCCAATAAAAAGCGGAACGAACTTACGGCCTTACTCCTTGTTATTGTAAGTTGATCATTGCTGAACATCATCGTAATTCGTTTTTTTCAAGTACACTCAGTGTAGGCGTCCGTATACGGCGACATACAAGGCAAGGATCTATATCTACTGCTAATAATTTTTCGCTTTTTAACAAACACACAAATACTTAAGACATATTCAAGTTGGGCGTAGTTCCCGATCCTGCGATGTATTCGCCCATTGTTTTCTAGTAAGGGCACAGTCGCTCAACTTTAGCTTGAAAAGTCGTCTGCTCAACGAAGGAACTCATTTGAAATTGGTTATATTTGGAGCAATTCTTGGGTACTGGGATAAGGGAATATAGGACGATATAGATCGATACTGCAGGCAACGACCGTGAAGGAAAAGTAGTTGCTTGTACCATGTGGTTCGCGGGTCGCGTTCAGGATTCAGGATTTAACGTATTGTTTTTCCTACCTTATTACTCACATTTACTTCATATATATATATATATATATATATATATATATATATATATATATATATATGCTTATGTAATATCTATTATATAAATATATATATATATATATATATATATGCATATATATGTATGTATGTATATATACACATACATATATATGTATATATATGTGGATACGATTTTTTTTCGGTTTTGTTTATGGAAGCATTTCTTTATTGCATCCCCATTTCTATCGAATTGCGTAGGACGAAAGAAGGTCTTCTGACGTCTCCAAGATCTAGGGAAACAATTTGATGTGAATTGTTGTTTTTGTCGCATCACGTGTACATCATTGAGTAAATATATGCGTGTCCAGGGGCGCTCTTGTTGTCGCCATTTTGGTGATTTTTTTGTTTTTATCTTTTATTCATGCAGAATTATACTGATTGGACTGGGAGACACTCTGCATTATTTTGGGCCTGTTTAGTTTCGTTTGTTATTACTTAATATTGCACTGTTTTATTCATCGATATTTGTCTCTATCTGTGTGGGTGGGTTTTCGTTCTACTGAAATTATTCCTAATAAATCTCCCTTTAGAAGGATGCCTTTCTATGTTCTCTCGGGTCGTTCGTTTTCGAAAATTACTGATAGTGTTCACGTTGAACTAATAGACACGTCATATCATTCATCCAGCCATTCGATGCAGTCACGGAATTAGGTTTAATTCAGTTAATCAATTGCAGGCCAATTACTCTCTGTTTATTATATATCGACTAGGAGAAATACTTGAGGCCAGTGACTACCATGAATTTTTCGATGAAGAGCTCCGAGTCGAGGACTGCGATGTGGGCTGCGCGTCCGATGAGTGAATTGGCCGTGTTTGTCGGCAGCGCATGATGCACGTCGAAGCGAACGAACTGGCAGCTCTTTCCGGATCTCGCCATAACAGGGCCTAGCAGGTTATGGACCATCTCCCGATACGCCGCACCTGGCGCGCGGGTTTAGCAAAAAAAAAAATAGGCTAATACTGATTTTCATGTGCTCTCTCGCTTATCAAATGGCAAGTTCACTGTTATGCAAAATAGATTTCGACCGAAACAGAACTCAAGCTCATTAAAACATGAAAGTAGCTTGCACTAGCACTTTATTAAGGTGTACGTCTGCTGCATAGGAACAAAATGGCCTTTACTCTCACGGTACCTCTATCGTCTACAGACAAATCAAAAAGGAGAGTGTTTGGGTACTAACCAAGGTTGGTGGAGTCCTTCATAGCCGCCTTACAGAGCTCGATCCGCGCCGAATGGATGGGCACGTAACGGTCCTGCGAAGATCCAAACAGCAACACATGTTTAAAGTACTCCAATCCGCCAGCCTGCGCCAGCCGATACAGGAACGTCGACCTAATGTCTGCAGCGTCCCGCATGGCCAGTTGCAGCAATGAACCTGATTTCTTCCACTTCTGCATAAACCACATGCCTGCAATAGGGACACAGCACGTCAATAAAGTCTGATAGGCAAGGTGAACTTCTTAGGAAGTTTAGGGTCGCGTCGTAAAACTTTCCCATGAGAGGTTTAACACAGAGTAATTGAACAACGAACGTTGGCTTCGTTTAGGATAGCCAGAAAGTATATAGATGCGTGTGTGTCGTTTTTCATTTCCACTGAAATATAAAATATCGAATTATCAGATTTTCTAGCGAAAATAATTATATAGAGATTAATTCTACTATTGAGTCCTATGAGGACAAGAAAAACTAGAGCTCACGAAAGCGTCATGGTGGTAGAAGGATGTGTCCTTTGTTATGAAACGAGAACTATCCAGTCCAGATGAGTTGAAACATAAATTTCGTCTGCACATCCGTATATAATTGTATTGGATATAATATTATTGATAATAATGATAAGTTAGATAATAATATAGCAGTTGTTTACCTAGTACCCATAAGATTTCACGCACTACGCGCTTACCCATGTTGACAAGGCCGCTGCTGTTAAAAAGGGTTCCGAGATGAGGTCCCGATAAGGAGAGAAACGTATGCAACGTTTTAAGGTACGGCTTGAGCTGTGGACGCGTCAATGCCGATCGAATAATGATGTTGCCCAAAGAGTGACCGATGAAACTACAATTGTCGAAGGAACACAATAGAAATTGTCCATTTTATTATTTGTATGTTATATCTACCAAAGAAGATGTAGCGGACTCCAAAGCACGGTTCTAATGCATCCACTATGGTATAGTCAGATCGCGAAGGAGTTCGCTCCATCTGCTCTGACAAACGGTAAAAAGAGTCAAGTCCATGTTTTGCTTCGTCTACTGTCTACATTCATCGGGACAATGCAACCGCCAAAATGTAACTTACACCCTCGAAAACTTATTTCACCATTTATCAACGTTAGACATTGCATCGGACGATTGGCTCTTTCCAGCACGAGACGAAGCCTGTCTACGCCCAGATCCGAACTAAACCCGTTACGTGTCCCTAAATTTAATTTAGCTGTCCTTCTACAACTTATTAAGAGTGATCAATGGTAATCTTCCCCCTTCTATTTACCTGATCCTGTTGGGTTTAAGATTATAGATCTGTATGTGGCCAAGGATCTCGGCAACTAAGCGATCAGTAAGGGTATCGAAGCTCTCGAAGGTCTCGCCCTGATTTCGCTCGGACATGAGAAATTCAAAATTGACAGTGGGCAACCCAAGTTCTAGGTAGGTTCTAACAAGACGAAGGTCGGCGCTATTGCCGTCTAGTCCATGCACGCAGATGACTAGGTGCAGGCCGTCAGGGCTGAACGCCTTCAGATCCTGATCACAGGAAAAGTACGGGATGGTGGAGGCTAGAGACGGAAAGTCGCTGCACCAAAGCCACGAAGGCAGGTTCAGCTGTTGTCGAAAATCTTCTTTAGCCTGTACGAAACCCAGGAGGTCGCTGCTGATCCCTGATGCCCTTCGTACGGCTCCATTTCCGTCAGTATCAGCCTCCTCACTCTCATCAAGGTCACACAAAAGGCCGCTATGTAGCGATGCTCCAACACCCGCGGTTGTTGCGGCGGACTTGCTCTGAAGGTCCGTGAGCATCTCCATTATGGTGCACTTGGCGTCCAGGTATGACTCTTGCGAACCTAAAAGGAATAAGGCCAGGTCAAATTTGATTGTCAACGGCTCAACAAGATAGGGCAAATTAGTTGAAATGTTCAAAGAATTTGAAGTTTAATTTATTAAAAAGTGAGTCTACGTCAAATTACCCTAAGTAGACAAAGTGACTATATACAATTCGTGTGCTTACTTATCATTACTTAATTCCATACGATTTGATTAACTAAGTGTATGCCTGCATTTACTTAAACCAACGTCTCCCACTCACTCACCATGGCTATCAATAGATGGACATGCGAGTGGTGGGGGTCGGATTGACTTGGCCTTCGTTTGTACTTGGCCCGTAGGGGCTCTATCTCTAACCGGGTTCCCGGCGCCGCTAGTGAGCGAACACTCGCCCCTCAACCCAACCGGACTGTCTCCGATACTCCTACGCGCCGTCTGCTGCAGCTTTTGTTGTTGCTGTAGCTGATGCTGTGGTAGATGCACATTTTTTGACGTCTCCAACTTTTTGTCCATCGTCTTCTTGAAGCCGCCATTTTCTTTCCTATTGCTCCTATTTTGCTGCTGCTGCTGCTGCTGCTGATGTAGTGACATACGATTTTCGCTCTGACTCTTTCTCTCTCTGATGTTCTTGCATTTCTCATCCGTCAGGTCTGATCCACCTACGGCAGGTCTGTTCTCGCTGAACTCCTTCGGTGGTCGAGGGAAGAACAGGGTACCCTCAACCATCATCGAGCACTGCTCAACACTGTTGCTATTTCGTACCATGCCAGTACCTGTGCTGGCGTTAATGCTAGCGCTGTTTAAGGGTCTCTTGTCAAAAGGCTTCTTAAGGCCACTTTGTTCCTTTTCCGATGACGTGTGCTGTCTCCGCTGACCGGGATGTTGCTGTGATTTCGCGTCGAATATGGGCGATTTTAAAGGCGACTTCTTAGCTATTGTCGCTGCAACCGACGCGGGCAGCTTTTTCTCGCTGTTGACGTTCATGGTACTATAATTGTTCATAGCTTCCTTAACCGTCGATGTTGTTCCGTTACATGAGCTGCTACGACTCTCTATGCAATAGCGATCTTTGGTAATAGCTTCGGCTAAACTGATGACTTCCTTGAACTCTGACTTTTTACTAGTGTCGTTAGTCTTCTCGGTGCTGGCTAGCATCAATGTATCTATGCCGTTCTCCTTTTTATCGATACTGTCTAACGGCGCGATCATTACGTCCGTCTTGTGTCTCTTCTCGTTCTTTTTGGCCGGCGTTGCTTCCGTAAGATCATTCTGAAACAAAATAGTATATCACCATTGTCTCGGTACCTTTATTGAGTATAACTGGGAAAACAACCAGCTTTTATTATTTACATCCATCGTTCGAAATGACAAGACTATAAATTTAATACCTTTATTATCTTGTCATCATTGTTCTGTTTCGCGCTTTTATCATCTTGTGGTTGTCGTTGCTCAATAACCTGAACATCTCTGTCTTCATCACGATCATCAACGTTATCATCAGCATCCGGATCCTCGTCCCCGTTGGTCCCGTTCTGTACGTTCGATAAGCTCGGTCCATTTTCTGTTTTGGATTCATTTTGGCTCTTCTGTGCCTCGTCGAGCTTTTCGTCCTCACAAGCAGACCTCACCGTCGTCTCTACGCTACCACCATTATCATTCATCTGGTAGAAAATGGCAGATGACATATTCACTTTCAGCCAATTATTCGCTAATTATTTTAACTTTTTTTTTTTTTTAATTTAGTCTAATAACTGTGATTTATTCGCTGGAACCATAAATGGAGATCATTTTAGTCTGTAAAATGTTCCCCACTTATGTTCCCCAGATTACTCCATATCTAGTGCAGGCCCGTTTGATATTTATATTTAAATACAGTTTTATGCTTGATTATGTTTTGCGATACGCTCTATTTACTCGCCCAGGTATTGACCCCCTTGGCACATATATCCGAACGCAACCGTACATACGCAGTTACATATTAGCGATCGAGGTAAACGAACGCGGTACCGGATTAGGCAGCTATCATTGGGATTTGGGAGAATTACTGGAACATCGATGGAACTGGAGTTCTTCACATCTATCACATCTGACTGCTGGTTAGAATAGAGCTAACTGTGTATAGTTTTACATTCTCCCGCCAGGAGATGCCCTGTGCCGATGCAGTCGCGACGCCACCTGCTGACAGGCCAACTCACCCAACACAAAAACACCAACTGACAGTGCGTATCCACGAAACCAACGCCAGGTGACGCTGTGGGGCTAACCGAGAAAACTAAGCTGCTCAAAGTCCTGCTTATGGTCTTAAAGGTCTGATAAGAGTTTTGAGTTACACGATAGGAAGAAAACCTGTTTAAGGCGACGGGAGGGATCTCAAGGTCCTTCGTGCTCATCGAGGGTCGAGGAAGAACACTTAGCGGTATTTAGGGCAGTTGAAATCGCCAACAAAATAGAAGACGAGATACGGTGAGTGAATACTTTTAACGGCCTAGCTCACTCTGGTTTTCAAAGAATGGCTTGAAGTATAGAAACAATTTACCTTTAGAAGGAAAAATGATTGTCATCCAGGGCTGGGCCAAAACGTTGACTGAACAATTGGCGGTACAGTTTCTTTTTCTTTTATTAGTCAAAAGACTTTCGCTAGGTAGCGTGGCGATACTCCGAGGCAACGGTGAAATGAAGATGGTGGACGTGGTAGGCAAAACATCCGTATAAACTTGTGGACTTTCTCTAAGACAATTGCCATTGGAAAGGCTGGGCCAGGTGAGAGTTTCGAACAGAAATATTAACCAGAGGCGGCCCGCAATAGAAACAGTCGCAGGACGACGAAGAGATCGATGACCGGCCGAACGTTGGGCTAGATTAGACAAAGACCGCTCCACAGAGACTCAGACCAGGGAAGCGTCATCCAGCGTCTTTCAAGCGGTTTTACATTAAACAATATAGATCAACTGCGATCGCAGTTGACTTGTTCTTGCTATGGTAAACGATTGAGTAGAAAAGAACTTCGTTCACCAACCACCAATAAGTGTACCAAATTCAGTTTTAGTATGTGGCAGGTCGGAATGGCTTGTAGACACGCACAGGACCGAACGCATTGAAACAGACTGCTCTTCCCTAATAGAGGGGCAAGGGAAGGGTGAACGGCTTACGCGGATACAACTGGAAGTTGTGGCCGAAGCATATTCCAGCTAAGTACAAATCTTATCTAGATAACCTGACGACTTAACCACGGAACACGCCGCAGCGGAACAAGGTTCCCTTTGCAGGAGACTTTAACGTTACGACAGAGGCACGGGCTTCTGTTAGGAAGAACCAAGAAGCGAAAGTAACGGTAGAAGTGAAAGACTACTACGTACAAAAAATCTGTGCGCTTATGGGCTTATTTACTTTTTGGCCTTGTTGCGGTTTTTCTTTTTTCTGAGTTTGATGTGACGGCAACGTTAGCTGTTGCGGCGTTTGCTGTTGGGACTCTAACCACGTCTGCGATGGTGGAATTTTCGAAACTGTCGCAGAGTCTTCAATGTCTTCCAGCGAATTATTGTTTTTTGTCCCTTCATGTATTGCGCGACTTCCCTGACTTGCCCGGCTGTCGGCTGGGGGCTCTTTCTGTGAGCCCCGCTGACTTTGAGGGTCCAAGTGATAACGAGGTACAGCACCACATAGCGCCGGCCCTTCACTAATATCTCGGAACGCCTCGGGCGGTAACAGCGTGCCGGGGGGAGTGCACGAGCCTCCATAACCGGAGCTGGTTTTTGTACTTGCAGTGGTGCTACTACTAGATACTGTCGAAGGCGCTGAAAAATGCAAATCAAAATGAGTAAGGGAAAGCCAAATGTTAAAATAAAACCTATTTTAGTCTGATTCTAATTTTGATAATACTATAGAAGACGTTATTTCTTATTGTCTCATTATCGACTAATAAGTTTCTGAAGGGCACCTATTATAACAATAACCAATTTAGTTATATCGCATGTCAGGATACTGTTCAATGATTTACGGATTTATGGAACAGCGGACTATCGATGAACGCTATTACTTTTCGATGACACAAACCTTGTGGCATAAATACAGAGTCATCAAACGAATCCTTACGGTTTCCAGTCCACTGGTTACCGCTTGGAAGTAGTTTGGCAAAGACTAATGAGCTCGAAATGAAACGACGATGCTTAATCCTTTTGCGGTGCTTCTTCCTAGCTTCTTCTTTGAGAGAGTTGTTGGCAGAACTTTCAGCCGAGGACGTAGAATTGTCTCCGCCCGTATCCAGCTCCAAACCATAGTTAAGATTAAGTGCTGCCAAATCGATTCGTTCGCTAAAGTGAGGATTCACGGATGTTGTATAATGGCTGAGATCGGGGAGCGACTCGCTGTTGTTAATGGCGTCTGACGAAGACGATGATCGAGAGCTTTTCTTGAGTTGCCGTAAAAAACGCGATTTCAGACGATTCTGCAGAGAGGGCCAACATTTGTACATACATGTATGTTATACGCGCAGAGGAGATATTTTTGTTAACTACCAAAACGGCAAACGCTTTGGGTAAAAATGACGATATTTATTTAGTGTTAACCGAACAATGTCCAAAAAGCTTAATCATGGAAAGTTCACGAAATACGAAACAACCGTTGCGCTATATAGGGTAGGTATATCTTGTTAGCAAGCCATCAATGTATCTATAACACGATGTTGTTTCAAGTGTTTATGAATCTATTTCGAAACAAATCTGTCCTGCACTATAGACCCTTATATTGACAATTCATCTGTGTGCTGCCTACCGTCGCGCAGTGAAATAGTAGCGCTGTCATACCTTATTATTTGAATGCTGATTGAGCTTCATGAGGAGATCACGAACAGTGATTTCCGGGTTACCCACGGAACTCGCAGGTAACGAATCGAAGCAGTTAGCAGCGGGTGAAGCTTGGTCAGCGATTGATGGACTGACCAGCGACGAGCCGCTTGAATATGAGACGTGCGTGGCCTTAAACTCCTGATAGTGCTCTTCATAGATGATCGGCAACGTTTCGGTATCACCATCCACCTCGGGACACTCAATATCTAACGGTGGTATACTATTAAGGTACTGAGATCGCCGCAGCGCCTCAGTCACCTCGCCGAACAACGAGCTCCCGGCATCACAGACAGCTGTGATGGCCGAACGTGGCTTTTCTATGACAAAATATGCCTCACTGAAGTGTTTCACCCTGGCTAAATGTCGCTGGCGGGCCAACTGTTGTTTGACCTTTTCCTGATGTAAGGACACTCGAAGAAATTGCTGCCAAAGAACTAATAACGCCCCACAGAGTTGGGCGATATCGCTGTTGGCCAACATTAGAAAATCGTCGTCGCTTGGTATTTTCTATGGAACACATGCCAATAGAGAGAATGTGATATTAGAATTCATTTACTTAATATCTCATAGAATAGCAAAGCGTTCAATTTTAGATTTTCGTAAGCAAAGTCTATCGGAACTTCCGTTTCGAGCCTCAAAATAATAGTACATAATACAATAATAGAAAGCATGCCTTTTTTTGGGTCCATGTAAACTTTGTGTGTATGTCAGTTGCGTATCTCGTAACTCTTTACCTTCGACGTGCATATACCGTATGGTGCACTCTAATGGAAGCTATTTAAAAGTTTTGCTCATGTAACATCGACTATAGCCAGCAGATAGCTAATATGATCCGAAAGAAATTCGTTCGTTTCTCATGGCTTGTGACCTCGCTAATGTGATTCGGTGATATCGTCGGCCCGGCGAGGCTGACTTGCGGTTATCCTTCTGCCTTTTACTTCACTTGGTTATCGAGCATCTTCTCACAGTTAGACGCGGCTTCGTCTTTACAGACTGGCTACAATAAATGCCTACCTTCGAAGAACTACGTTACCTACATCGTTAGTAGGCCAAGTCGTCGATTTCTCTGTCTCCGGACCCCTGTTGAGCTGCCAGTGGTACTCAGACCCTGCTGCTGACTTGACCTTAGCATTTAGCGGAGTTTGACCCTCCTCCCTTAACCCTTTCAGAGGTGGGAGGTGTTAACATGAAAGCGAAGTTGAGCGGGAAATGAATCAGGAATATATAAAAAGGCACCGAAAGTAGATGTCAGAGTGAAAATCACGAACCTTGGCCACGTCGAAAAGCTTATCCAAAGGAGGTTGCTGATGTTGTGCCACTTTCAGATAGCTGATACAGAGACGGGCGAGCTCCGATAAAGATTCACTGAGGTTGGCATTTAACTGAAGTGCTTCACGTTGGTCGAAAGCCATCTGTTGCCAAGGTGAAAGCATTCTGATGTGCTCGACGAGTCGGCGCTCTAGTGAGCCGCATGCACTCAGCATGAGCAGACAGATCTCCCAGTGAATCAGGCAGGCACGCTGCTGCCGAATGGCCTTTTTGGCATTACCCTTTTGTAACGAGGACAATAGTACAGAGAGACGAAGACACCAGAGGTATTATGTTATTACCATCATAGACTTCAGACATACACACGTAGATTACGTCGGGTAACTATGATTTAATAAATAACTAATGACTACATCGTATCTTTTATAGTTAACACTTTCAACAGTGAGAACATAAAATGTTTCGTACGTTTTGGCCAGTTCTCATCATTCATTTTGTGTGTCATTTTCTGTATGAGAGTTTTTCCATGTGTTTCGCGGGAACGCTTCCTTCTACAAGCAAGTTCCTCTTGTTCGGACCCGTACCAAAGCGCGTCGTCTCAATGGTATATACAGAAATCACATCATAGCTGCTATAGTCATTACTCTGTGTGTTACAAGCAAAGAATTGTAACTAGCCTTTATGGGACAGACAGACATATGCGCACAATATCCTGCTCTAGAGTCTTACGCGGAAAGATTCATTGGAAGCATTACGTTGATAAAACACAAACGTGTATTAAGTTATATTACTTAATATGATCGTTGATCACTTTTACATGCATAGGTAGTTGTCACAGGGAGATGGCAGAAGACAATAAGTCTAACTTAAAAGTTGACAAAAATGAAAACTCGCTCAACGAGCCGCTCACAAAGCGTATCCATAGACATGGCACGATGTACCTATAAGAACAGTAGTAGACGTTAAACAAAAAAAAAAGAAAAAAACCAAAAAAATGACAAAATGAGAATTCGTTTCGAAGTAAACGTTATTCAACCTGTGCGGCAGCCTAATTATTAGCTACTGCATCCAACGTAAAACGTATAAACTTCAGCTTTGTGGTTATATTCTCAAGTAATGCTTTCAAACTTAATTAAAAGCCAGGGAAACGTTGTAGGGCCTCTATGACAATTTTCTGCCCTTAGTGCAATTTCATACATCCATTTCTCATTAAGAGTACTATAAAGTAAAATTCGCTGGTATAAAAAATGCTATAAATTACATCGTGTTTCAGCTCATACATAATCTAAGATACATAAAAAGGCCCCACTTTCAAGGATTAAGGTATAATCATAAAGCAAATTTGAATTGTCAGAATTGGAAATCAAAACCAATAGACATTAGACAGGTACGAAGGAAACATAACGATAAGGTAAACATACGGTTTGATATTTCCGCGATGCTTCTATGGAAAGACACGTAGCACCTTCGAATTAAGCTTGACATTAGGCGAATACAAGCCGCTTTTACTATAGATATATCGTCTACGTGAGTTTCAAATTTGACCTTTATATAAGTAGTAGCCGTTCGATACTGCCAATCCCTGAATCCTACATCATACATAAACAATATTGTCAATCTCTAATCCGTCATGAAAGGGATCATTGGGTACGTAACGCTTCCATTAACCGCTGTACTGAGATTCGATAAGATTCGAGATCGTTTGTGTAAACCACCGTTTGTCTAGCGCCCATCTACTATAAACAGCAGCTGTTCTTCGATCTTGTACAACCCGAAGCTTCACAGCGGGCCTTTACATCGTTTTATTTGTTCATCCTTTTCACAATGGTCCCACAACAAAAGCCTTTGATGAGAACGCTAAAATTGTTGCTAGTGGACAAACATCGACGAGCAGATATGAAATACGAAGGTACCCTTCTGTTAACAATGGAGAAGCGATTGCTATATAGAAATAGTACACAAGTATGATTGTACTATATATATGTATATATGCCTACCTGTGTTGGAAAGTAGACGCTCTCCATTGTGATCCCGCTCGTCTGGCTGGCGTGCAAAGCAGCCTGAAGTTTCCTAGAACGTGGGCTCGAACTGAACCATTGAGCGATTCCACATCTGTACAGTCATGAAATTGTACATGTTTGTATTAATAAATATATCAGCTTTATGACCTAACTTTGTTCGCGTTGCAGGCGGTCAAACATGAGAGCAGGTGCGCACTTCCGCAACCTACTATTTTTTATCGGATAGGTTTTCCTTGACGGAACAAAATAAGCGTTCATCCGACTCGGTATGACTTACCCCTGCGCAGGCTGACAGAGCGCTATGAGAGACGCGTGTACGGTCACTGTGACACCAGACAAATGGAAGTAGTCGAAAACGAGCGGCACATGATGATGCAGTCCTCGTAGGGCATTAAAATGTAGTATTAACTGACGACTGGAAACACAGTGCAATCTTTTGTGTAATCTCACATCGCTGAAATCATCCGAATCAATGCGGCGACGGCGGCGGCGGCGGCGGCAGCGGCGGCGACGATGACGACGAAAAGGACAATGAACAAATGAAACGAAGTCGAGCTGATGCATCATGTAAGTAAGTGCACACCATGAGCCTATCTATTTTGTCGCCGTTTCAATGCACTGGAACTGTTGTATAATAATACTAAGTATATTAATAACGTGTGAATTTCTTAAGATATTATTACTATACGTACGATGTTACGTATCGTCAGTGGTGCACACAATCATGTTATAGTTTCGGTTATAATTTTAAAGGAATTTTTTTTTGAGCTTGTGTCTTATTTAGAGCGTTTAAGTGCGAATAAATAAAGTAATCGCGTGAATATTTGTAGTCCTATTTAGTTAATAAATAGCTATAGGTCAATTGTTGAACTAGAAGAAGTTGTTGTCCTAGAAGAGATGTGACAGACGGACTGCATTCATTCCTAACCCCAACACATACGAAGAAAACTATATATGGATGGATGGAAGTATATGGAAAGAAGTACGTGTAAAGCTCATGACAAATACGCGCACAATATCCTATAGGTGTATAGGACAACATCTCTGAATAATAGGTGTATCCTTCAACTTTAACTTCAATAAAAATCAAGACACTTTTTGAACTGCAGGCGACGCGTACATAGATAGAATGTGCAATATACTCAGCTGAATAGTCCTAGATTCATATATGTACAAGCGCTAAGGGCAATTGCAGGCCAGACAAAAAATCAAAATTGCACTCCAGACCTAGTAGGTTGTTTGTTAGCTCTGTCCGCCACGGACTCCTTTCTAAAGGTAACTAGTAGACTAATTTTCATAGACAATTAATCAGTTGAAGACGGCGCCAGGCTTTCCTTAGAGTCCTCAAGCATCACAACCACGGTCACGTCTTTCTCTGTCTTTCTCTGGTTTGCTCTTCACGAAGCCCTTGCAACTGCCTTGTCCTCGTTCGTCAGCTCCAGCAGCACTCAGTCAATTCCCATTAGTCGACTCAGGATGTACGATTCGATGCATGGCTACATAGACACACAATGGCCAAGTGTCAGTGTTGTAAGTGAGCGGTAACCGTTTCTTTGCACAAGCTGTGCTTTAAAGGTTTTCCGCAGTGCAGCGCAGCTGTAAACATCACATCAGCAGTGGTTCCCCATCACCTTCCTCAGACGAATGGCGTACACAGAAACTCATACATTTCCACCAAAATAGCAGAGAAAGTGAAAACGCGAATCCTTCCAGATCGCATCTACAGATACTTCGTTACAACGATAAACGTATGTCGCGAAGACTTTTTCGGAAAAAAAACTGGAGGGACAAACGTTTAGCTAGAAAGCCTTCTCTGCAAGCAGCTCCTTACCGTCTAGCCATCAAACATATTTTGACGCGAAAGCGAAGAACCAGCACCTTAAATCTTTTTTTCAATGTTAGTCGTTCTCGGCAGACCGACCGAACAGCTTCAGCCCTCGCTATGTATTTAAGGGGGAACATAAGACGTTATATCTTTAGAGAATAACGCAGTACGTGCTCATCCTTTCCACAAGTAAGCGAAAGCACAACCCATTTTTAGTTACAACCGCTAACAACGGTAGTCATAGGAGTATAAGGGGATGATATCATGAACAGCGGCAGCAGTTGCTGCACCTCGAGCAGGATGTAAAAAAATCCCTAGAGAAGACGGAGTTAGGCAGTCTGTCGGTTTCTACTAGTTTATGTGAGTGAGTCGGTCCGAGTGTAAGAGATGGAACCGCCTGAGTCCTGCTTCCTGCTCCGCTTCGCTATAGCATGAGCTACGCGTATGGGAAGCTCTCGCGGCGCGGACTAACGTGGTACAGGTCGCTCGTACCGAAGTAGTGGGGTTTCCGCCCTCGGTGAACATAAGGTAGGTGTTAGTTAGTCTATGGCTCAAAAGACGTTCTCATTTTAGTTTGATTTAGGCGCAGGCGACTGCGATGTGTATATATTGTGCGTATGTCCGTAAAAAAGAACACGTGCTTAAACAGAAGGGTTCTTTTCTCCTCGTTCTTTTATTACGTGAAAGTAGCCTCTGAAGAATGGGCATGGAAAGGAGTGCGTCAGCTTGTAGGATTTCTCCGATGAAATGGTGCGCAGTTGCGATTGTTGTATAGTATACGAAATAGTCGTTAAAAAAACAACTACAAGAATATACGGATAATAATTGCTAATTGAATGATAAGGAGAACAACACTATTGCAAGTTCACTTAGAACTGAAAAATAATGCCCGATTCAACGAACGAGAGTGATGAGAAATTCAACTTTACAGCTATTTATGAAACTTTAGCAGAAATAGCAGGTAGACATCATAGTCTTTAATGCTGATTCTAAAAATGCAAAACTGGACAACTAAATACAAATATCCTATACGAACATTTATACTGGGTCTTCGATGAGTAATTACATCGGTTATTTTGTTTCTTAAGCTTAGACTTGTTTATCGGGGCCCAATTTTCTTGCTCGCATTTATCTGATTTGTGTAGTTCACCTTCCTCTAGTATTTCTGTATTATTAGCGTATAGCTTCCGGTATTCGTACGGTGTTTTTTCAAACATCTACCTTTCTGTTTCAGTCGCTTTCTTTTCGTGCGTAGATCTAAGCAGGTATGAGCTATAGGGTAGGCATAAATTTCTCACCCATAATGTGTCAAACCTATTAATTGCCAAGGCCAGATGAAGATCCTCTACATCTCTAAGATTTAGTTCTCGTTAATTTCCTGGTTTGACCTAACGGATTGCGTCGAATCCTTATGTGTATCTACAGTTTCAATGCGATAGAGTTCTAGATCTCAGTTACACTGATAGAGGGAATTGTCGGAGGTTTAAGGGTGTTTTTACTGATCCCTATCGTTGTGCACCATTCACTTTTTATCTCCAGTAACAATGTTGTGCAGAAATGAATTTTTTTTATATTGGTATGGATATCATCAAGCCGTCTTCAATGGCATTTACCAAAACTGATGTTTTCGTTTGTGATGTATTCTCCAGATTCTGTGCAGCTGACATCTAGCTACGCGGAGCATTGTTAAAGTGGCTGGAAGACCCAAATTTGCATGCAATAGTTAAAAAAAAAAAAGTATCATCAAGCACTTCGTACGCCCGTGGGACTTAGGATTAAAAAAAACCCCAATTCCAAAATGCTACGTGAACCGGATTCAGTAAATGGCATCGAATCCGGCGCATCTTCATTCGACTGTCCACCCAGTTTTCATTGCATTGGCTGTAGTTTTTCCAGCGGCAGAGAAGTAGATAGTATCGAATGTGTAGATTTTCTATTTGATGGCACATTTAAACGCCACATAGATAAAGCGGCCACTAAAGAAGCTGGTTGAAATGTCGATAGTGAAACGAAAAAAAACAAATGTCAAACAAACGACCAAATAAAATATCTTTCTTATCTTACAAGAATTCTTATTCGATCTGATAAACACATTCAGATATATATCTTAAAGTTGCTTTCTTGTTGCCTCCGCATGCCAAGCTCGTTTATCGTTATGTACGCACATTATCTTGGTTTCATTATAAATAAACACGGTACACTGAATATTCTTCAGTGTGTTTTCACAGAAAGACAGTTGTACCCCCTAGGGAAACGTCTGTGGGTTTCGGAGTCGTTTTCGTTCTGCTTCTTTTTTCGACATTGTGCAGTCTTATCTGACTTTTAAAGCGGAACCCCCAAAAACTCTTTGCACAGTTGCAGCCGCTGTTACTGTCCCTGAGATCCTATCGGGCCCCTGTTTCTCCTTCTGCTTCTGCTTCAGCAAGCTCAGTTGGGCGTGCTTGCGTCTCAGTGGCTTGCCTAGTTGTTGGTTTTACCTCTTTCCTTCTTTTTTCTGTTCTTTCTGGCAACGGTCCTACGAAATTTTTTCACCTGTGAAATTCGGCCTTTACAAAACAGACCTGTACAGGGGTCATGTGCGGCATATCGCGTAAGCAAACTGCAAAGTGATTATTTGCGCAAGACTGAGGACCAAGGTTCAGGAAGTAGAAAAAGGTAGACGGGCACACGCGTGAATATTTGTTTGTTCGCGCGCAGCATAAGATGAGACAAATTAAGATACGAGCTGATACAGAGTACTGCTATTGCTGCCGCTCGCCCAGCACGAAAACGTAAACATTAAGCTTTACCCGTGAATAGGGTTAGCCAAGTCACAAATACTCCACAAATTGCCAGATGGCAGTGTATTGATAATGTGTTTATCGATGGACTAAAGATCGCGACAAGGCGGTGAAGTTGCCTAGATTTGCAACTGGGGTTCGTTTTGTACTGGGGGGGGGGGGGGGACCACCATCTCTTTGCTTATTTAGCTTTATAATGCCTAATTAGCACGAAAACATTGACGTAGAATATTTTACGTCCAGTGTTTTGTCTATATGTTGTATTTCAATATCTCTAAAAGTCACATCACCAGAAGGCGAGCGTTGTAGTACTTGTAACAGAGATGTGACACCGATGAAGATTCGCGAAGCTTTGTTATTATCTTTGTGATCAATCCAATAACTCGAACCGAACTGATACACATCCTCAAGTAGAAATGTTGGTAACGAAATAACATGAGTAAAATATGACTCAAACAGAAGCTGGACTGAGGTTAACGAGCGTATATGGAATATAAAGCTGTCCTTCCAATCTGTGGTGTTGGGACTAAAAACGTCTAGCTCTCATTTACTTAATTAACGAATTCTTACTGCATTTTCTTAATGCATTCATTGTTTACGAAACAATTAATAATTTTGTTTGGCACTTACCTAAAGCTCTGATCAGTGAACCAAAGTTCAACCAGAAGCTGGAAGTCCCCCTTTGAAAGCTGGTCTTTTACCTGCAAGTAAACATAGACATCCCCAATAAGAGTAAATATGTTTACGGCAAGATTGACTTATTTAGATAAGGTGCTAGTCTGTTCCGTAAACAACAGAAAGCTTTTGCTACAAAATGAAATGATATCAATATGCTTTAGATCGCTTCGCAGCTTTAACCATTACCATAGTATCTGGAAGCGTAGTGCTACTTCGTTTGTTCTACTAAACGTTTGCTATAATGGGTTTGAAGTCCTAACAAAAGATTTCTGCCCACAAAACAGTGAACCTCTCGGGTCATACCGCAAACCCGCATCCTCCTCAACATTGTGCTAAAGCCCATTAATGTTTTCCTGTTATAAATCAATTATTCAAGACCTTTTAGAAAAGATCCCGCGATTTGGCTTTCATTTTTAGGTAATATGTATGATTAACGTAAATTATAATTCATTATTATCATGCATGCTGTTACGCATCGAGATTAATAGATTCCTCGATACTATATCTATCGCACGGGCTTCTTGTAAAAGCCATTCAGTTAGAGAACACAGACGCTTTGATCAGTTCAGCAGTAAGCTTACCAGCAATTCTCTTTGGTAATGGTCACCAGGTAATATGACAGTGGAAGAAGGAAGGAAGCAGCCTGACCAATGATCCTTTAGACACCTCAGTTTTCATCTATTGATTTTCCCCTGGTGTTTCTTTGAGCGGATTTCAATTACATTCTACGGCGCCTCCGAAAAGCAATATATCTTTACGCAAGTGTTTATACAATACCAAACGGGAAACAGACGCCAGTCAGTTTGTCCAATGACCATAAAAACATGAATATTCAGAAGAGTATCCTTTCACGGCACAATATTATACAACATTTAGATACGCACTAATACACGACCATAGGGTAAGAAGTCACTTCCACTAAAGTTCGTTGGTCATTGGACCACCACTGCCGCCATTGTTGCATCTTATATAGATACAATTATACGTGTGTCATTCACTAGGTTACCTCGCGTGGAGACACTAACGTTAACTGTGGACACGTTATACACAGTCTCCCCGCTTTACACGATGCCAAAATCGGCCAGCGCTTGTCGCGATCGCCTTCTCTTCTCTATACTTTAAATGCTTCTGCTGCTATATCTGCCTTTTGACCCATTAACAATGATCATGGTGGTCAAACATCGATCGATTCCCAAATGTACGCGTACTGCTTGCATGGAATAAGAAAACGAAATCACTACACAACGTAAAGCAATGTAATCTAACATCTGTTAAATGAAAACGGTCTCCTCTATATTGGGTCTCGGGTTTATTACAACTGTAAAATTTAACTCCGAACCGGTCCCATGCCATTATGTTACGTGTGTTTCAAACCCGAACGTGGTGTGCCATGGGAACAAATTTGCGTAGTAATTCCTATCCAAGGATACTTCGCCGCGCATGGATAGAATGATGTGATGGTGACCGAAGTTGAAGTCATCTGTCCCGCTGCATGGCAATTGGACATTCAACACAGACCGTATTCCTCGCTTTGTCCATTCGCCAGGAACTAGGAAACGACCTGGGCTCTGGGTTCAGCCCTTCGGTCTGCATGCACGACGCTGCTATTAAACTATTCCTTAAACGCCTGCGGCGTGCATCCAAGTGTCCAGATCCAGGAGAAAGCGAAGTTAACAAGTGAACTGCAAACTCTATTTAGTAACCCAAATCGATCTGTCTGCTAATAAAACGAAAACACCTTTACTGTTTGCCTAACCTCCTTTTGTGTTAAACTCTACGCACTTTCTTATTTGTGTTATTATCAATAATATGTGTATATCATCATAAATACTTAGATATACTTGATCGAATCGACCTTTAGAGCAAGCAGAACTAGCAAGAGCTTCACCTTGACCGCCCGTCATTGGATCGTCGACTTGTTTATTAGCCAGACATAGTGATGCTGATAACATAGTTCTGATTTACCCCCAAGGAATATTGCCCGTTTCAAAATGATCCGCCTTGAGTTACACTAGCCCTTACGTATTTTTTGGGCTCTATTTCCGATATTTGGCTCTCAATTAAGCCGGAATGAACTGAAGGCCCTGAAATTGATGTTGACCTGGTTGCGACAACCACAAGGCTATTAGGTACGTCATTCCTTTTGAATTAGTTGAAGTTGCTTTCCCTAGTACAAGTAATACTTGAAGAAAACGAATAGGGACAGCGCAGCTGCTTACGTCAGTGTGATTGATTCGATCTTCAGTAATTGCCAAGGGCATATAGAGGAAGTACGTTAACGGGTGCCTTCCTTCGATTAGAATGTTTAAACCCCCTTTTCTCTCAGACCTCGTATTTATCAAATTGGTGCTCATAGAAAATGGTTAGAAAATCTAATCGAAGCTCTTCTTCACAGTTCTACGACGTACATAGTCTCTGCCAGGGTCTGGGAGTACCTAAAGTAAACATCGACCGAAATCTTGTTTTCAAGTATTCTCGGTCTCTCAATACTGATATTGATAACGTTCAAGTTTCGACCAACTTCTTCTACGCATTGTTACCTCTAGCGGCATACCGAAACAGTACGCGATGAGAGATCATAATCGCACTTTGGCTAACACGCTCGTCCAATTTTGTTCATTCGTAATGTTAATTTAACTTCTCAGCCACCTATAAGCCTAAATATAATTCGACCACGTGGCAAAAAACCTTTTTCAGAAATTACCGTACAGTAGAAGTAATAGCAATATCTTATATTGTGATCAAGACGATTTTCGCGCCCGCTTAGTTAAAATAACGGTGTATCGGTCCTCATTTAACGTTCGTAAACTGGATCTCGTCGTGCCTAATTCGATTAAAAATATGTTTTCGATACATTTCGTTACTACGATATATATATATCAACTCTCAACGAACTCAGTCTCTCGTCTGCTGGCTCCGACTTAGGCAGTCTCGTACCACCCATGTTCTATTCCAGACGTGTACTTAACATAACAATATAAGTATTTGACTTGGGTATAGATATCAAAAAAAAATTAATTCTAAAATTAAGCAGGCAGGTTTGCAACAATCCTTTATTAGACCATTGGGTTGACGTTCCTCAACCGTACAATCGAAATGGGTTGTAGTTTCTTGCATCAAAATACGTAACGTCGCAGCTTGGTGCATTCGCTGATGACTATAGGGTTGACGATGTAGTTTCGGTATTTTTGTCATCAGAGCTTCTAGCGTTCAACACAAACATCTAGACCCTAATAATTACGTTGTACCATTGGCAATATTTATCCTTACTTCAGTGAGAATAGTTTGTGGATATTTAGAGACTGATGTGTATTTACCCATTATTCAGTTGTTGATTGTCTATTGTTCTGTTGTTTGAAAATCATGCGAGGCTGATTGGAAAACTTCTCAAGACAACTTGTCCAGGCGTGATGACGGCAAGGGTTTCACCACTAGGAATCTTCGCTTTTCAGATCATCATCGAAGAGTACCGAAGAGGGCCGATCTTGCCGAGTATTTGTTTGAGCTTTGATTTTGTAATAGCCAAAGTGAATGCTCCGGTTTACTAGGGTCATAACGCATACAAAACCGATAAAAATATTCACAACGAAGGAGTGGATAAATTGAGAAGAAGATCCTCCGAAACGACGGTAATTTTTTTTTGTTGTGTACTCTTTACAACATATCTCAATGTAACGTATACTACGGTGGTTTTCTATTTTGTAATGTATATGTTCATCGACTATTATACTGTAAATTTTAGGCATAGTCTGTATACCATTATTTCTATATAACTTTGCCAATTATTCAACCTGTGATTTTACTCTTATGTTAACAGTGGACTTATCTAGCTATACTATCGATAACGAACATGTTTGGGATGAAGCTGTCTATGTTTAAGCATTTTTTCTAAATTTGACACTATTGGTTTCAATGGCGTGGTCAGACCTGTTAGACCCCATCATACCGACAGAATTCAACACTGAAGTTCCGTTTGAAGCTTATTTCCCAGCTACTTCACGAATTCTTATCCACTATCATTTCTATAGGTATCCTCGCGTCTACATAAGTTCTGCCAAAGTGACCTCAGCTATTTTATCTTGCTATTCGTTTATGCTGCGTGGAACCATCCTCTAACTGTCTAACGCACAATACAAGGATTTAAACCATATCAAGAAAATCACGTCTAACTAATAAAAATTTCCTGATCAGGCCTTCACTCCATACAGTTTTATTGAATTCAGGCAAGCAAACGGGGCGTACCGGTTACATACGTACCCTATGCCCGTCGACCAGCGAATGCACCCGGAAAGTAACAACATCGTCAAGGATAATTTCTTCATTTTTGTAGAGGATTTGAAACGTTTTCGAAACAGCAGTCTGCCCATTGATTACGTAGGCGTTTAGCAGATAGTGGTCAAGCCTGGAAGAGAGAGGGGTCGATAAATGGGCTGTTGGGCTATTCGTTATGCCGAAGTCCCCCACATGAACTTCGACCTTCGATGGAAGTCGCGGCGATGTACGCAGCGTCGCTCGTACCTGGTAGAACCTAAACGAGAAACGTGTAGAAAGCACGGAATAGGACACATCGGGACAATATTAATTTTGTAGGACAAGTAGTTGCTACAGCTATAGCTTTCTCTTCGGTATAATATTATGTATGCAGTATTTGTACAATAGCATAATCTAGCTGGCATTATACATGCATATTATCATAAGTATATGCATTGTTCAGTGTCAGCAGAAGTTGTTCTTACTAATGATTAGTTTGATTGTATAACATTAGCGAAAGGCTAAGATACCGCTAAGACACAGCTCACAATGTGTCCATATAGAGCGAATCAATACCGTATAGGGTTTGAGCATTATCTTGGCGGGAGTTTGCTCCTCTATGGCCTACGTGCTAGGGGACTTTTTGTAAAAAAAAAAAACTAATCTACTCTATTCAATTCAAGCTATCGTTACATTGTTTTTAATTATTTGCTGTACAAAGATTAAAGCTTTTGTCATTTATTGAGCTAAAATGTATGCAAGTTATTTATTTAGGTAGTTACTTGCAAATTTGGGCAAGCTTTCGTGGGTTGTTTGTCGGAGCTGGCTGGCGTGCGTTCGTCCGCCATTGTTGATACCTAAAAAATAGCTGGTGTTTTTCTAGAGTAATATAATGTGCTCAAATAAAAAGAAAGAGCTCATCTAAAAATATCAATAGCGCAACTAGATCCTGGATAGTGATTTCGGCCAACGAGAAAGAGATTCGCTCAAGCACATAGTGGCCTTGTATAGATTTCTCGGTGTCTTTGGCTTCCTGGAAGAGCTCTTCAGGCATATACAGGGGATACGTTTCACAACCTTAAAATCTCTCTCGCTAAAGTACAGTGCGTTTGAGCATATTCCTCAGATAAATACGCTGAATCAGAAAGGCTTACATTGCATTCGCTTGATCCGAGAAACCTTCCATATTCCTCCGTTCTTTTCCATGTTGACGTTTTTTGCTAAAAAAATATTTCCACAACCGCCACGAATCCAAAAAGCCATCGCTACCTATTCATTATTATAGTTATCACTAACAGCGTTACTTACACTGACATTTAAACAACTATTATTTACTATTCACTCTAATAGAGTTTTGTTGAACGGTGTAATTGCGACCTCCGCCATACTGCCAAGCAAGACGAGCTTAATCTTCTCCCAGCTTATCTTTGCTCAGTTTCACCTGTAATATACTTGCTTGCCAGTCCAGTCAAATTACTTAATTCGAGTTACCCAGTGCCCAGCAACAATATACTGTTATATTATTTGAGTCGCACTATAGGAAAATGGTAGACTGAAAATCACAAAAAAATAGAAAGTGCGAAGGAGCGAAGTTTCAGGCAGACGCTCGTTTAGTTTTCTAATCATGCGTCGAGAAACTGACAAGTCGACGTAAATGTCCGCTTACTTGCAACGTGCCGTCAACGTCAGCACACGTGCAGCCCGAAGGTGTCCGCGGGGCGGAGCAGCCCAAGCTTGAGGACACGAAGCAATACATATTGGAAACACACTATTTGAGGTACAGAAGGACAACAACTAGAAGGCGAAGAAACACAATGATCAAAAATAAAAGAAGACTACAACGAAAACTATTGTCGAAGGAGTCAAAGCTAGAACCATCTTGTGTGCACGAAAGGTGACAACGAGGGAGGAAGGTGACTGAACGTTCGCGGTTCCGAAACGCCCGTTCTGACATTGAGCGAAAGAGACACAGTTGGAAAATAAAAAGCTGACATGGTACGGTTGACGCTATTATCTAAGTTTTTCTCCTGTTTGTTCTCTATAACATTTTTTTCGTTGCAAACTTGTTGCTGGGAGATTTGTGTAATTGTAACTATTTTGCTGGCAGCTCACAGCCTGCAGCTTATATGGAAGCAAGGTCGAATCAATGGTGAACAGCGGCCGCTGGATTCTAGACGGAATACTTCCTTGCGCAACAAAACAGTTGGCTTCCAACATCCAGCCGCTGCATTGTGTAGTTGCGCAATGCAATGGGGGTTAGGAAAGCCGAAAATATCTGGTAGCTGCAGTATAGGTATGTGTGCGTTACACTGTTTCCAAATAGTATCGATGCATAGGACCAAGTACAGCTGGAAGGTGGTGGTTACTAGAAAAAGCTGTGTTTATGAAATATTCAAACAAGTCAGGCATGAGACGCGTGTCTTGAGCGTAACCATGGAGGCCGAGGCAAAAAAAGAAATCACAGGTATCGACTGTCGTATACTATGCGCAATCAGAAGAACGAATCTGTTGCAGACCAGACGACAATCAATCTCAGAACCTATTCGAAGATAAAACTGCAGAAGAAGGTGGCCGACGTCAGCAGAAGTGGAACGGTGGAAATCCTTTCGGAGCGGTGGAAAATAAATTCTGAGTTCGTCACTGAAAATAATGGTTATCCTATAGATAAAATCTTTCTGCTTGAGACGTAATTTCTTCTTCTTCTTAAGTACTTTATTGCTTTAGTGTTACTATTATTATTAAATGTTTTTTAGATATTTGCTATCCGAATAGGCGAGAGTTTACGAATGTACTTCAGCGCGTAGAGGTCGATTCAAAACGTAGAGGTTTCAAGGTTAACGACAGTTTAGGAGCTCGTATTCATCTGAAGCTCTATTCTAGTATGAAACACTTCAAAGATGGACTTAGCGGAAGGATTGCATGACAAATTAACAGAAATCTATTCTATTTAATTAACAGCGACTAAAACCTCTAGCCGGGCTAGAGAACGAATAATAGCCGAACCAATTTTTTGGGTCGGCATTCACTTGATTTTATCGTGCTATGCACAATAGTCCTTTAGCATTGTAAGGCCCTACAAAAACGTTTGGATAGAACGAACCCTGCCACGGCATACATGTACCAGTTTACACTAGTTAGGACACTCACGAGATGAAAAATAAGAGTGGCGCCGGACAAATGCGCCAAAAAATTCGTACTGCTTCAAAGCAGCGTTCTGACTTACCCCATCATTGTTCGAACATAACAGCAAGATCAATGGAAGAGTGCCATATGCATGCACAGATCGACATCCGTTACTTACCCTCTTTGGAAGAGATCAACATTGATAAACCTCTGGAGTTCAACGGAAAATTCTAAACTCGTCTGGACCAGGCTCATTGAGAATCCTGGAAATATGCAACGACACAAAGAATTAAACGAGATATAGTTGTAATAAATATAGAGCAAATATATTATGTTTCTAACATGTTTATTTAATATGGCGGCGATTAATTTGACCTAGTCGAAACGTTTACACTATGTGCAAATAGGTCTACATTTAACACTAGTCTAGCAAGCTAGGCTATACAGGTGTAGCCAGAATAAGCTTCGTGTGTGACAAAAAGCTCATGCAAACCGTGAAAAAAGCACTCGTCATGTTGGTGACTTCAAAAGACATACCAATAAGATCTACTATTATATAATAACTGTCTCAAGGCCATAACAATTAGCTCTAAATTGATAATTGTAAACTGTTAACGAGTACCGGGAACTTTAGAGTTCCCTCATAACCCAATAATAGTTGGGTCTCCTAATAGGTCCATTTGGGTTTTTCACATATGCTACAAAGCACAACTGCTCATCTAATCGAAGTGATAATTTGTTGTGTATTATTTTCGATCGCCTTTGCTCAATGTTGTCACAGATATCTCATAGAAATTTTCGAAAAGGCAGCACCCCGTACTGCTGAAATGTTGCTCTGTTTACGTGTTGATACAATTCGAAAAGTCGAACATTGTTTCGGTAAGCAGATATGACTCGCGGGATATAAAATAGATGATACAGACATCTGACAGAACAGGACAGCGCTAGAGGTGAGGACTAGCGAAACAGGACAAATCAACCGAAATGTAGTATTTTTTGGGGAATAAGATAGAAAATAACTGCGTCCTTATCCGATTTTTTCATTCCGTCGCCTTTCAAATAGTAATCGTTTTCAACCGATAGTACTATTCACAGCGTTAATCATACAGACCATTACGTTGAATGAAAGAAGTTTGCATTATAAGTTAGTAACTATGTAGAAATAACCGTTTTGGGGAAGTTGTCCCTACACCCTATTCCTAGCAGTGACTGTCAGCTGGAGGAAACAGCAGCGGTGCTGGAAGGCTTGATGGGCCGATCGAACTGGTCTATCCGTGTTTGAACAATCTGAAAATGCTCGTTTTCATTGGTACCGTCAAATAATGTCTCTTAAGTTACATATTATTGTTTGCATCAGTTATTCTTACGTTCGCCAAAAGTAAGCAAATGCCGACGTTTGACGTAAGTGTTCCATATTGAAAATGTAAATCATTAGATTTAACCCGGAGACTTGAAACCAAAAATAATCACACTTCTTTTGAAAACTAAAAGAAGGAACCAAGAATAGCGGAAAGGTAAATGTTAAACGTTCGCGTTTGATATTATTGTAGATTGTATATAATTGATTGAACTATCAATTGTTAAAGCCGTAATTTGGTACGGTTTTTTCGTGCACAACTATCTATTTTTGTGCAGAAAACTATCTATTTTTTTTTATAGATATAATAACTTCACTTTGCGCATAAAACTATTGGTACTATTTATTTTCATTTCTTTCTTATTTTAGACCTACTTGAATAGACATTTGCGATCCTTTTCAATACTTTAATACATTTTCCCGCCGATCCCTATTTCGTGTTGATACACTCATCTTCACCACGTGCAATCCAACAGATGAATGAATCCACCGAGAGATGATGGCCATTGTAGCTGATCCATTTGATAAAGAACGTAGATAAACTCTCATATGGAACGTTTCCTGGCCTTGTTGACGGCCGTCTTTGCTTGGGTGATGATAACGAATTTAAGCTATCATACACGTAAGGATTATATGTGTGTCTATAAACACATCCATATTTGGTAGGGAAAAACACGAAACACACGCAAAGAATACAGACCAATATTTTCTGCTACTATACAGATACGGCTTTATATATGCTTACTTAAGAATATATATTAGCCATGTTGCACAGAAAGGACAATTTGGAGACTTTAAAAAGAGAGTCAGGAGAATATTCTATTGCAAATAACTAATCAATGAATACAAAAAGCCGAAAGATAATAGGCAGACGCCACACACAATAGTGTATATATGACGCAGTTGTTCTCTCTAAGTCGTTATGGAAAACGTTATTTTTCCCAGTTTATCAAAAACTCGTTTTTCCTCAGGACACTGCTGCGTATATAGAAATAGGCTGATCACAAACAATATACAACTGACGACTTCTATTGTTTGATGTGCACTGAAGCGTTATTTGTCGTCAAGTTTGCAGAGAAGGCACCAGATTGCATTAGGACAAGTTCGGAACCTACGATAACTTTAATCGAAACAACGTTCTATCCAGAAACTTCCTGCAGCACCTCAAACCGAACCAAAGCCGAAAGATAGAACTCAACTGGTTCCGGCCTTCTGCTGGAAACGGATACGTATTAGCAGCGTTCCATTTACAGCATTCGTTCTAATCTGGGAGGACAACTTTTCCACCCGGGCGTGTCAGGCCGGTTTAGTAGAAACACGTTTGTCAAGCTATATGCTAAGCAATATGCTTCCAGTCGGATCACCTTGATCTGGCCATCATGACCAAAGGGCCATATCTGGCAACGTACAATTTTCGCCAGCTCATCCCATCCTGCCCGCGTATCGCCACCAAAAAATTGATTTCGCAATTGATACTATTCGTTATTTATTGCACCTTCGAGGTGTGATGAGTTCATAGCACAGCATACGATTTGCCTCTTTGTCATTGAATTAAGCCTGCCATAAGCAAACCCGTTACTATAGCCAATCGAACTATCCCATAACCCAATTGAATGTCACGATAACCGTCGCAGTTTGTTACAGATGGCAATTACCATCATCGAAAACACTGCGGAGAGTGACGAACCCATACCAACACAAGTCAGCGAGCGTTTCTGATTTCGAGTATGTTCCCGTGTGCAGGAACGCATTATAGACGTCGAGTAGCAGGTTCTTTCTCAGAAAAGCATGGAGCGTGTGCTATGCTAACATAAGCTTTGTCAATCAAGTAAACAACATTCGCATACATGGGCTAGCGCGAAGGGGGGAGAAGGAGGTAAAAGAACTTTGAACCTACAGCGCGCCGACATATAGTACGACTATTATAATAGTTACGAATTTTTAATTTTACTTATTTTACTATTATTGTATTATATTATTAAAAGAATAATTACGAATAGTAAAGAAAGGAAACGATTTACCACGAATGAGTGTAAACAGGCCCCCCATCTATCTTCCTGTTTATATGTATAGAGAAACGCAGATTCCTAGGGTTTGCCAGTTCGGCAATGCTGTGCAACGTCGAATCGCGACGACGCCCACTGACTACTGTAGAACGAGTAGCACGTTAGCACGCCAGAGAACACTGACCGCCATACCGGGACGAAGCCAACCATAATAACCTAAATATAGATAGCCTCGCTAGCTCAGGACATTTGTGAAGGTATGGCAAACGCGGAAGAAAGGAACGAGCGAGCACGAGGATCGCCGCTTTATGAAGCCCAATCCAATAAAACTGTAAACTGTAAAAAGAGGTGTACAACGAAAAAATATTTGCACAAAAGTAGCCAAGGCTTGAAACATACAGTCCGATCAGGGCTCAGAAAATATATCGCTAAGAACAGGTCTATACACATAGTGAGCTTGAGGGCCAAATTATCTAGTCATTACGAACAGTTTACTATAACTTAAACAAATTTTATCTAAGTGCAGTGAGCTGCATCGATAGATGTTTGTTATTCGTTATACCGTTTATCCTATATGTGCGTCCCGAGCTTTAGCGACTTAGTAGATGTTGGCTGTTACGGGAGACATATGTCAAATGAGTTAGCTAGGAAATGAATCTTCCGCCGAATTTCACTAATGTGGCCTGGGATCACCTGGACTGAACATCTTGTTTATGCTAAATACTAGAAGATCAATTCTCCCTCTACAAGGCCGGTTTATGCCAACCTCATGAAGTCATATAGACATAGTGCTAAATTGCTAGATAGTCCATGCTTGGGCGCGCTATTCTTTGCCGTAACCGATCACTAGTATCAATTTATCAGAAGTGATATCGGCTACTACGAATTGACGAAGCTATGTTCTTGCCGTCCGATGACGTGGTTGCGATTCGGCCGTCCGAAGTTTATTTTCAATAGGCCACTGTGGCGCGGATTGACACGCAGGGCAGATGTGATGATCACTGTTTGATCGAACAATGATGATCGCATCTGCGAACGAGTACCACAGTTAGCTTTAACGATGAGACCCGTTTAGCCGAAACCAGCAAACTAAAATAGCAGCTAAACTACCGATTCAACGACTCGGCGATGCTTCGAAAATTCGGCAGCATGCACAGTTTGCTTCCTACGAATTTTCGTAGTAAACATGCAGCAGTTAAACGCCGGAAATATAATAGCCAATAGCTATTTTCAGGGTTCGACACTTATTGGTTAATAGGACCCGGAGATACTTTGTTTTTACGGTGAATTGCATGGCTTAGCTGAATCAAACAACGGACCAGAACGAATACTTTTTGGTGGTTACTAATTAATTACGATTCTCCCTGATGGGCTAGCGTTCCACATACACATTATGCAATAATGTACGTATTTATGCCCCGTTCGGTATATCAAGTCACTTCTTAGAAGAGTTATTCAACACCGGAATGCATTCTCTAATTACTCAAAAAGGCGCAGAGTCATTCCGGGCCTACAAAATAAAAAATTTAAGAGCATCATCTATCCAATGTGCAGCAAAACGTTCGTTCATGTAGTCGAACGGCTCATTATCAATAAAGAAGGTCACACCCTTCTAGTCAATAAGAGCCAATAAGAGGTCTATTGACCGGGACGTGCGGTAGCCTGGCTTTTAGACTTAGGTAGACTTTGAGAAAAACTTGATTCAGTACAGCCTTCTTCTATTGGCCTCTATAGCTTGCAAAGCGTAACTGCCGTATAAGAAATCTTTGCAGGCATTTTCTACTCATAAAGGTCACTCCAAAAAAACATTGTTATTATATGTAGGTCAGATATGTGCACGTAGCAGGAGTTTAACTTACCGATGCTTCATCTTCCCTGTAACCAGTATCTTGTTGTCTGC